CAGGCCTTGCAAAAGGCTCCGAGGATTCTGAGATTGTGGTCTGCCACACAGAGCCCCTTCCCTGCTCATTGCAGATAGTCATCAACTTTCTAGGAAACGGATGACCAGGCTGCCCAGGGATCATGGGAGGCTGGATGGTTCAATCTAAAAAAAAGCTAGAAATGAGGAAAGAAATAAATCTCAGAGATACAGTTTATAACAGTGTATGAACTTCAGGCATGCACATTTGTAGCTATCAAAAAGGAACAGAAGAAGGCACACACAAGAAACCCTGGTTGAACAAAGCATTCTTTTTTAGGAAAATAAAATAAAATAAAAATGGAAAGGTCCTTAAAAACATATGTTAACTTAAAATTAAGAAAGGCTTTCAAAGTGAGAGGCAGCAAGGGGTTATTTGAGATCAATGGGAATAGCTGTTTGGGAATCATTTATTCAGGCAGAAGCCCAAATAGTCTTTTGATTAGGACAGTGGTCAGCAAATTCACATGTGGCTCTTTAGACCCTTGAGTGTGGCTCTTCCACAAATACCATGGCCTGGGAGAGTCTATTTTGAAGAAGTGGCATTAGAAGTTTAAGTTTAAAAAATTTGGCTCTCAAAGGAAATTTCAATCATTGTACTGTTGATATTTGACTCTGTTGACTCATGAGTTTGCCAACCACTGGATTAGGAGATGGAGGCGATGGGTATTTATGAGAAAGGGAAGAGGACCGATTACCTCAATGGAAGGAAGGCATTTCTACTGGTGCAGATAAGCTAACATAATAATGCTAATTCTGAACAGTGCTTTTAATTTTCAGCCCAGTAGTCCTCAGTGCAGTAGTCATAACATCTACTTTCTTATTATCTTTGCAAGCTGTTCTTTGGGACATGTTGCCTAGGCCCAGTCCTAAGATTATTTTGTCCTGATTGTAACATTCCAAAAGTTTGAGTATAAGAAGTGAAGGGCAGTTCCTGGTGCATGGCAGCTGCAGCCCATGTTAGAGTGGCTCCGCTTACATTATTGTTTACACATGTAATAATCCAGCTGCATTGGTTGGTCCCTCTGAAGGTGAGGATTTTTGCCAGGGGCTCGGGATAAACAGATGAGCATGGTTTGCCTCTGGCCCAGGGGGATTCTGTGTAGCTTAGAAGACCAAGATCTAAATAAAAAGTTGTCTTACAATTTTTTTTTAAGAGTGATGGGAACATAGGAGAGGGAGCAATTAAGTAAATCCTAGGGACTCAGAAGAGAGGAGGTGACTTTTAAACTACACAGAAGTGAGAGGATAAGGCAGTTTTCTTCAAACTGAACCACATGAAATTGCCAACATGCAACCCTATTGAACATAGAAAGTCGATTTCTGATGGTTTATCCTAACAATAAGAGCCGGACCAGCGTGCAGATTGCATCCCTTTCACCGACTCTGATCGAATGGTGGTAACTGCCAGAAGCTGTGTTGAGAATGATTCTGAGGATTCCAGGGCCAAAAGGAAAGAATAATATTGAAGAAAGAATAATAATAAAGAAAGCAATTGTCCAGTTGCCTGTCCTGACTAAGGAATGGGTCTAAATTAAATATAGTGGCCATACTTAAATGATAAGCTTTAGAAACAAAATCACTGAAGTCTTAGGTTGTCCTCCTGGGTTCAGGCACTCCATGGTAGTCAGAGGTAGATGGGCTGTGCTTGGGGTCATGGGGTGTGGATGGAAGACTCGCTTCTGGAGTCTCATTAGACGGCTGTATCGCAACATGCTTTGGACAACCTTGTAAACACTCCTGATGCTTGTACCCCACTATCTATTCCACCTGAGTTTCTAAGCAAACAAACCCTACTCTTGCCCCCACCCTTGAGAAATGCACGGAGGTTACAGTGTATTCCTCCACTGCTTTGCTTTTGCTTAATTCAAAGCTTTCTTTTAAGAAAAGGTCATGGTGTACTGAGAGAACACATAATAAGTACTTTGCAAGTTAAATTGGAGAATGTTTTTAGGTGACATCAAAACAGTCCTGTGATGGTGGACATTTTGTTTTACAAAGGTCAAAATCTTTGCATAAAGCATTTTTTAACTACTTAGAGGGCATCAAAACAAGCTATTTCAGAGCAGTCTCTCAGGACCCACAGCATAAGAAAGCGAGGAAAGCATCATGACGCCCCACCAGGATTTAGCCTTCTAGGGACTCAGCCTAATGTCTCATTGGGACCCCTACATTGCACTGAGGTTATTGGAAATCTGTCTAGGTTTCAACTGTGAAATACTAAAATGCCCTTCTGCATATATATTTCCTACAATTACATTATTTTCCTTTTGAAACCTATATACCCCAAGAAATTTCAGATCTCATTTTAATAGTGGTTCTTTTTTTTTTAATATATATTTTTTTATCGATTTTGTACAGAGAGGGAGGGAGAGAGATAGAGAGCTAGAAACGTCAATGAGAGAGAAACATCGACCAGCTGCCTCTTGCACACCCCCTACCGGGGATGTGCCCACAACCAATGTACATGCCCTTGACCAGAATGGAACCTGGGACCTTTCAGTCCGCAGACCGACGCTCTACCACTGAGCCAAACCGGCTTCAGCAATAGTGGTTTTTTTAAAAAACATATATATTTTTATTGATTTCAGAGAGGAAAGGAGAGGGAGTGAGAGAGAGAAATATCAGTGATGAGAGTGAATCATCGAACAGCTGCCTCCTGTATGCCTCCCTACTGGGCATTGAGCCCACAACCAGGGCATGTGCCATGATTGGGCATTGAACTATAACGTCCTGGATCATAAGTTGATGTTCAACCACTAAGCCAAACTGAAGGGCTTAATGGAGACTCTTAACCAGGAAGTGCCCGTGAAGGTCTTGTGCAAGAACTTTCTCCTGCCCCACTACCTCCACTCTAGAAGGTTGTTATTTGGTAGCTCTCTCTCTCTCTCTCTATCCCATGGAAACATTTGCTTCTCTCCAAAAGTTCCAGCAATGAATCAAAGGGGTCTCACTGGAAAAGCTGGGTGGGGTTAGGGCCTGTCTTTTCTGCTGGGTATCCTACCTTCTGTTGGTTGGTATTAGACCCTGCATCCCATAGTCTGATGTTCAGTTCATTTGCTGTCCATCTCCATCACAGACCAGCCTCCTGACAGAACTGGAAATACCTGCTGTGGAGAAGTGAGGTCATGAGAAGGCTCATAAGTTACAATAAACTGTTCTCACCTACAGTAAGAAGAAGAAAGCACTCAGTTTAGCAAAGGTTGATTATGACTCAGGCCCATCCAGACTCTTAATACATTTACTACCAAGGGAAGGTCAGTGAATTCCACTCTTACATCTGGGCTTTTGAGGGGAAGGGGGACTCTCCTCCAACTATAAGCCCAGGACCCCAAGGCAAGCAGGAGAGGGACTAGGGGACATTCCTTCAGACAGAACTTTCCCCCAGGGGCTACTTCTCCTGGTCAAATATTGGATGGACTGGGCCGACCTGGTGTTGTGGGAGGGAGAGATGAATCAGAAATCTTAATAGAATCTTTGTATAACCTGGAAATAATGTACAAAATCCAGAAAGACACCAGGATCAGGGGAGAAGAGAAATTTGGGAATGGCCCTCAGTCTCCTCCTGCCATCCCTCTGTTTTGGCTTGGCACCTGAGGTACAGAGGAATAGAGCTGAGGAGACCACCTTTGGAGTTGTGTCTGGATTTGTATATCAAGAAAGATTGTCATTCTCTTATTGGCATCTTGTGGCAGCCCCTCTCTGTTTGGTGAAGCCCTACTCACTCTGGAAGTTCAACTTGTGTTGAACTTAGGTAAGATACCAAAAGGTTATAAAACTCCCCCCTCATCACCCAAGGACAGGTCTCCAAGGGTCCAGGTGAGTTCCAGCTTCCCTGAGGGACAGGCTTCCTTTTACAGGAGATTGCTTTCCTATGGTGATGGGAGAATACAGAAACCCATAGAAGCTCTGAACTTGACCAAACAGGGAAGTGAACACAAACCCCAGGAATGTATTCCCATCATCAGAAATTGGGCAGCGAGCTCCTCAAAAGTCTCTCTCCCACTTTGCAAAGCCTTGGTGTTTGAGCAGCAGTAGGAGAGCAGACTTGATACCCCGAAGAGCCCTGGCCCCCATCTTGGGAGGGAGTGGTTGAGCCAAATAGGGCACAGATTGAGAGATATCTTGGGAGTCCACCTTTCTTCCCGCTGTAAGATTCCTCTTTGCAAGGATGAGCCGGTACCCTTTGCTGTAAATCAGGGGCAAGTTCTCCCTGCAGTGCAGGTGTGGGCCGTGTGTGGGCAGTGATGCAGCCTCTCCCTTTGGGAGCTGGGAGCTTTAGGGGAGATGCAGAAGTCATAGATGGTCTCACTCCAAGTCCACACAGGGGTTTGAGTGGGTCACAGGACAGCGAAAGTTGCATTTGTTTCTTCCCTGTCTTGTGCTCTTCCTCAGAAGACTGATTTGGACTTAAATGAGTGTGGTGGGGGAGGAATACCTTTCTATAAACATAGCAACACGCATGCTTGCCATTTGCTGAGTAATGATTCTGAGCCAGCCCCTGTGTTGGGTATGTCTCCATCAAATGACTCACCACCCCTCCTGCAGGTAGGTATATTCACCCTATTTTCCAGATGGGAATCCCAAGGCACAGAGAGGTATAGTCACTCACCATGATCACACAGCAAAGTAGTGTGAGTCAGGCTTGCTATCTCGTTCTCCCTGAAATCTGTACACTCCCCATTGAGCATGGCATGCTGCTTCCGGTATGGACCTGAAACTGGAGTCCTGGGCCAGCCAGATGTCTCTACGCCCCCCCCCCCCCCATGGGGAAAGGAATGACATGTGCTTGGTGGGCTGGGGGCGGGCCTCCACCGGCTCCCTCTGGCTAAGTCAGGGGCTGCTGTGGGGGTCCCGTCACGCGCTCTGGGATGGGGCTATGTTTTCATTTGCCTGTCTTTCTCGTTTGCGTTGCCGCGATCTTTCAGGTGTAGTGTGCCTGTTCCCAAACCAGATACCATCTATCTCTCTCTCTTTCGTAGGCACGGTGCTGTTGTGCCAGGCAAACCAGGAGGGATCTTCCATGTACAGTGCCCCCAGTTCACTTGTATATACTTCCGCAAGTAAGCCCATATTGTGGCTCCTTTTTTTGTTTTGTTTTGTCACATAACTCTGAGTCCACTCACCCTCCCTGCCATGTAAGTTCCCTTCCCCGCCCTCCGTACCACCCTCCCTATAGCTCCCTCCAGGTGAATTTAATTTTCATGAGCATGTCTCTGTTTCCCCTTTGCCTTAGCATCCAATCCCTCTGCTCATTACCTCTGAATCCTCACGTCCTGATGTCCCAGCCATTCTTTGTGTGGACCTGTCAGGACTGGGTCCAATGGATGGGATGTGGGGTATTGGAGTGGGGGAGGGGAAGGGAAGAAGGGAAGAAGATAAAGCTCATTACCTGCCTTCTATCACAGCTTTGTAAATCCGTATAAGAAAAATTGAATTAAAACATTTAGGCCATTCAACTGGCACCCTGGCCTAGCAAAGGTGCTGGGTCAGTCCTCTTGAACAGAATTTTTCACTGTGGGAAATATGAGCAGCCTGGGCTAGTGTCTTGTTTGCAAGGCTGTTCTATCCTTGGCTATGTGATTCCATTGAGGAAGAGAAGGTGGGGGGGGGGGGGAGAGGAGGAGAAAGAGAAGGAGGAAGAGGAGAAGGAGGAGGGTGGAGGAGGAGAGGAGAAGGAGTGGGAGGAGGAATAGAAGGAGGAGGAAGAGAAAGTAAAGGAAAAGAATGTGGGTGTGTCTCCTCCCAATTTAAGTAGAGGTAACAACAAGTTAAAGGTTCTTTACTAGATTTAAGTATGCCCATCAAGGACTAGGGGGAGGAAACCAAAATAACAAGAGAAGCCAGATCACAATGCTGAGGTGGAAAACAAAGGTTGCTCTGCCTGGGGTAGATGCTCTGAAGAATGGCCACTCCTTTTCCCAATTCTCAGAGCAGGACCTAAAGTGTTTCTGGATCCCATATGGCTCCCAGCCTCTAGCCACAGTCTGACCTCCTCATGTATTTCATACTGTGTGTCTACACCCTATGCAATTCCTATACCTGCCAAACAGGTCCTCATTGGGATCCTTGCTCAGAAGTGAGTCTGAGATCATGGGGAAGTGGGATGCTTCTGAGACTGGCTAGAGAAGGGGTGGGGGAGAGCGGAGGATGGAAGCTTATGATGATTAGAGGATGAAAGACAGGAGAAGCCTGACCACCTGTCAAGACCCAGCATCTTAATTCCCAAAGGTTAAGATAAACTCACCTCTTCACTATAGGGCAACGGTTAGAAGCAGTGACAGGGACCCCAAAATATGATCACCAGAAGGCTTCAGGTCATAGAGGCAGCCAAGGGCTTTTCCCAATAAAAGCATAATCTTCAATTTCGACATTCATGAAATGCAAGGTCTCTGAGAAGCTAGCCATACCAGCCAGATGTGATTCTTCTGGCATTTATGAAAATTGTCCCATTTGGGCCAGTGCAAATGCCTGTGCATACAGATCATAGATGAGAATGCTACTGTACATTTTCACACACTCAATCTTGGTTTTGATGCTCACAAAATATGCACCAGATAGGTTTTTTAATTTTGCTTTACAGCCTAGGAAATGGGGGACACAGAGAAGTGGGGTGATTCCCCCGGGACCACCCAGACAGTATAGGGTAGATTTGCTTTTCAAACCTGAGGAAATTACTTAATCTTTTGGTTCTAAATCTCATCATTCCACTGTACGGGTCCCTCCCTCATCACTATTTCTGAAGGAGAGTTGGGTTGCGTTCCAGAGGGTTACTTAGTTTATTCTTTAATCCATTTGTCCTATGGGTCCATCTGGGAGGAAACCTCCTATAACCACACTCTCCAATGGGGTGTTCCTGTGACCGAGACTTTTTTGTTTTACTTAATTTCAATTAGTGTTACTCTAATTAGCCTTGAGAGGCAAATGGCTGCCATATTGGACAGAGTGGCTTTCTACCACCATAAGCTATATTTATATTTCCTTTTTTTTTTTTTTTTTTTTCAGAAGGGCACAAAAAAAAAAAAACAAAAAAAGGCTGGTTTTAATTGGTATAGCCATTCTAGATCAACTTGGGGAAAGTGTGTGTGATCGTGTCAAACACAGAACTAGGCCACAACTTTCCATATTTATTTAAATATTTAATTGTTTTTATTATTGACAGTACTACAGATGTATCCCATGCCCTCCCTCCATTCAGCCTCACCCCACCCCAGGCCTTCACCATGCTATTATCTGTATCAGTGGGCTATGCACATATGTATATACTGTGAGTTCACTGGTTAATCTCTTCAAGTCTCTCCCCTGCCCTCTGAGATCTTTCAGTCTGTTCCATGCATCCATGCCTCTGGACCTGTTTTGTCTGTCAGTTTGTTTTGTTCCTTAGATTCCACACATAAGTGAGAGCATATGTTTACCTGTCTCCATTCTCCATATTAAAATCACTAAAACACATGGGAAATCAAATCATGTGATGCATTGGTCAGCAAACTACAGCCCAGGGCCACATCCAGCCCAGAGCCTGCTTTTGTAAGGCTTGTGAGCAAAGAATGAGTTTAGATTTTTTTTAAAGCAAAGCCAGCAATCACTCATTCTCATTTCCATTTGGAGTAGATGTTTCCAGAAGGAGGTAAATATCAGCAGCTTTATTTTCTTTACCATTTTACAAATAGATTTTCAATGGGCTCTCTATAATCAGGGAAACATGCAAATAAACCAAAACACACACATATGGAATAATATGATAAAATAGCCCCATTTTATTAAAAAACACAAGTTCGTAAAGCAATTCACATTGAATCCCTGGTAAGTACCTCTCTACATGTTCTCATAATAATGCATAGAAGAACAGATACACACGCAAGGGGTAGTGGTGGTAGTATGATTTTAAACAGGGCAGTGTACACATATGAATCATGTTTCATTTCATTTAATAACACACGTGGACCATCTCCTGTTAAGCCTTTTGATATTGTCATGCTGTTCTATGGCATGGGTGGTCTGTCCACAGTTTACTCAACCATTCTCTACCCATAGTAGTTCAAGCTCCTTCTTTTTATACCACCCCACAAACATGTTTACATATACCCTGACACACCAGAGCTTCACATTTTACATCTAGACTCCCAAACATGGGACTGTTTGTTTCGTCCAAACATTCTTGCCAGCATCTGCATATTTTGCTTTTTTTTTTAATTTTGCAAATTGAATGGATGAAAAATAACATCTTAGTTTGCTCCAGTGAGCATTTTCCTTTCTCCCAGTGAAGAGCATCATCCTTCACAAATTTAATTGTTGTTTGGATGTTACCACTAGTGACTTTTCAATACACATCTGCTCATTTCTTTCATGTGTTTTCTCATTTATTTTAATTCACATTGAGAGATCATTATTCATCAGGGAGAATAACCTGAGTATAGGATAGATGTTGCCAATATTATCCTATTTTGGTCATTTGATGTTGCTTACATTCCAGCATATAGTCTTAATTATATAGGCAAATATATCTGTATTTTCTTTTGTTACTGACACCATAGTGCCAGCATGGTCTGTTCTGGTGAGAATTCTTACTAGCTGGTAGATGATGGTCTTCTCACTGTGTCTTCGTATGACACTCTAAAGGCACTAATCCTTTCCTGAGGGCCCCATCCTTTTGACCTCATCTAAACCTAATTACCTCCCATTTCTAAGTACTAGCATAGTGGGACTTAATGGGTCTACATATGAGTTTAGAGTTGGGGGAATGAACAGACTTTAGTCCACTGGAAGCACCTTGACACAGAGGGGCCAGTTTCATTGTCAAGGACTCAGAAAGAAAGCATTTTTTCAGCAGCAATTTCTGTATGTTTCTATATGCTGATCAATGCAAACAAGTATTTTCACATAGTTACATGGAAGCCACCACTTTAAATCTATGCGAAGACAAATCCTAAAATAAAAGGAAGAAAATTGTTTATTCCTCCAAAATTTTCATCCCTAACAAGGGGGGGTGGGGGGGAGATCTGTTATCACAGGCAAATAGGAACCTTAATGTTATTGAAATGCAAAGTCATCTCCTCCATTCACTTTTATAAAACTCAAGGGCAAGTGGTAGTGGCATAGCCTTAATTGATATATTGATTGCAGATTGTATGGAAGTAATTGTGTGGAATTCATAAAACAATGATTTAAAGTGGCAGAAACATGCATAAATCAGGCCTGCACTTTCTACATTTAGGTAATGGATAGAGCTTCCATTGGTTTCTGTAATTAAAGCAATGGCCTCGCTTAATTTATGGCTTCCTCTTTCTTCTGCCCAATTCAGAAAATGTCACTAGACTGAGTTCAATAATAGAAAGTGCACATCCAGGGCATTGTGTTACTGATACATCGGTTTAAAAAAACACACACATACACGTCTTCTTTCTCCTTCTTTCCAGTAACTCAGAGCTTCCTGGCAGCCTCCCAGAAAGGCTTTTCTAATAGTTTCTGGAGAAGAATAATCTGGGACTAGGTTGAGGAAAGTAAGGCACTCCCCTCAGACAACATTGACAGAGGCTCCAGAAAGCTCAGTCATCAAGGTCAATAGTATGTTGATGCAATATTTCAAAATATTGGCGTTCAATGGAAAAATTTCAGGGAACAAATATTAACATTTTTGCTAAAGATAGGATGATTATTAATTTTTATCTTGACTTAGGATCCAGTATGGCTCAGTGTAACAACTCTTTATTTAAATTTTAAAAAGATATTTCTATTGATATTTTTTAGAGAGAGGGTAGGGGAGAGGGAGAGAGAAAGAGAAAAATGGATGTGAGAGCAGAACATGGATCTGCTGCCTCCTGTGATCTCAGGGATTGAGCCCACAACCCAGGCATGCCCCTGACCTTGAATCGAACTAACAACCTTTTGGTGCACACAACAAAGCCCAACCAACTGAACTATACTGGCCAGGGCTCTTTATTTAAATTTGGACTATTTCTCATGAAATTTTTTGCAATAATTTTATTTTTTTTAATTGCACTGAACAATATTTTATCTTGATTACGTGTTTCTTTGGTGGTCCCTCATTTAAATATTACACCCA